AAGCGCAACCCTGCCCCTTCCTCCTCCAGATGTTTGATATGTTTCAGAAGGTCGTTTGTGTACACATTAAACAGTGTTGGCGATAGGGGACACCCCTGTCTCAGTCCAATACTTATTGGTACTGGTTTTGATTTGTAGTTTTCTAATGTGTACCAGGCCTCGCAACCCCTGTACAAGCTCTTCAGGAGTTCGACACTTTCCTTTTCGAGTCCGCTTTTCTCCATCTTATCCCATAATCTTTGGTGTGGTACTGCATCATATGCTTTCTCTAGGTCTAGGAATGCCAGGAACAACTGGGAGTTTTGGATGTTTTTCATTTCTATGGCTTGGGATTAACGTAAATAGGTTATCACTTGTTCAAATGTTTTGCTGAAAGCCATTTTGAGCTACTACGAAAAAGTTGTTTTTATCACACAAGATCTGTAGCCTGTGGTTTATTATGCTTGCAAATAATTTGCAGACTGCTGATTATTGCGATTGGTCGATAGGCATTGAGGTCTTTTGGGTCTGCTTGTTTCATTTATATAGGAGCTTTACTCTTGCCTGTTTCCACACTTACGGTATTTCTGTTGACACCGGGCGTTCATTAAGCATGTTTTGAGGTTGTTTGCTGCCTTTTTTTAATTGCCTTCAGGAACTCGTTCGAAATATCATCCATACCGGTTGCCTTCTTGTTTTTCAGTCGTCTTATTTGCCTCTTCATTTCTTCCGTGGTTATGGGATCTAGTATGGAATGCTTCTGTATTTTGCGTTTTCCCAAAGTTTCTTTTTGACTGTATGTCTCTTCCGGGGTTCGCTTCAGTTTTTTGTTGTTGCTGTAAGAAGTACTCAGTCATCCATTCTTCAATTTGGCAATTCTCTTTCAGGTCTTTGCCCCCTCTTTGCAGCATACGTGTCTGTTCTTTCTTTTTTTCTGCATCCATTGTAGTAATTTGTCTCCAGAGTTTCTCGTTAGATTTTTTCCCCTCTTTCAGTATGTCTTCCTCTGTCTTTCTGCAGAACTGTTGAATTTTTGTGGCCACTATACTTTGTTTCACCTTGTGTTGTACCGCAGGAAAGGCTACATGCGCGAGCTCCTTGCTCTATGGCACACCTCGGCGGCACACGCTCTCGTGCACCAAGGGCAGCTGCCAACGCTATGAGCTCGGACTTCTAGCCTTCGCTGCGGTACAACATGAGGTGAAACGGAGTATAGTGCCAACTTTTTGTTCTTCAAAACATTCCGACAGGTAGTTTTGGGTGTAGCCTTTTCGTTGTGCCCACCTGTGCTGCCTGTTGATCTCTCGTCTTCCCAATTGCCTCCTTTACCTCCTGTTGAACCAGGGCCTTCGGTTTTATTGTTTCCCTTTTCTGGATTTTTTTCCACTTGTTCTTTGACTGTTTGGGTAATTAGGCTCATTAGTTCTTCATATGTGTTGTCTTTTGTAATTTTTGTCTCCAATTCTGATGCAAATTTTCCTATTTTATCTTCTGCTCCTAGCTTCCAGCGGTTTTCCTGGATAATTGTTTTGGCTTTTTTTTCTGTTTTTGGTTGTTGGTGTTTAGTTTTAGCAGTATTCTGTTATAATCGCTTACACAGCTGCTTACCTTGCTCTCGTCTATGTGTATAGCATCTATCTTGATGTTTTCTTTGCCTGCCTCGTCGTTTATGAGGATATAGTCAATTGTTGATTTTTGGTTGTTGCGGCTCCAGGTTGTTTTTCCCTTGCATTCTGACTCCAGGTTAACTCTAGCTAAAGGGGGGCGGGGGTGGTTCAACAATTTTATGGTTAAAAGAATTTGCATCTCCTCATTTTTACGTTGTTTATCGTGCCCCGGAGGATAGAGAAACCATTTTCTTCCTTCAAAATGTCGCGATTTTGCTGCATAATTGCAAAGCAAAAGCCGAGCTTTTCCCCCCCTTGCAGCCGCAAGTGGCAGCCGGAGGAACTACGGCTAGAAGATTACGTGACCTCGCTCGGCTCTAAGCTGCAGCATAACGCCCGCTAATGTCAGCAGAGAGAGGGAGAGGAAGTGTCCTCCGAGACAGCACACGGGAACCCACACGGCACTCCGAAGGACGTCACTAGGAGGGGGACCAGGTGTGACCCTGAAGACTGGGAGTGAGTTGAGGGGTGCCCGAAATGCCAATATTTATCTTTTTTTATGCAACAACTAGGACACGCAGGAGAAATCGGTTTTCTGTTTGTTACTTCAGAAGTGTCAGAGGGCAACTTCCACAAATTTTTGACCGAAGTCCGGAAATCGTTGCACCCCCCCCCCCCCCCTTTATGCTGTGTTTTTTATTAGTTTCCTGAGTTCTGCTGCTTTGCTTTCCCTACCATCCAGTTCTAATATGTGGCAGTTAAAGTCACCCGCAATCATTATCGGTTCATTTTGGAAGGTTGAGCCAATGTCTTTTGAGATGCAGTCGTAAATTGATTTGTTCCATGCCGGATCTTCGTTTGCCGTTGCCGAGTAGGTTGTGCAGATGGCGCCACTTTCCCTCGAGGCTTTCAGCGCTCCCTCAATGGTCTAACCCGAACGACTGGCAGCAAAGTTACAATACCTGACAAAAGTATTGTATCCTTGTCCCTAACTTTGTCGGTTCTTTATAGAAGGAAATAAAACTATTTGAAGAACCTAAAATTTTAGTCACTTGAATTTTTTTTTTCTGTGAAAAGGCATTTTGATAAATACCGAAGCAGACATTATCTGCTTCTGTCCTCGCGAACGCCAACTGTCGTTTACATACTCTTGCATTAATTATGTTCAGTTTTATTTTATTACCAACTAGCGTTCCTTAGGCTGCAGTTAACGCGTGAGCAACATAGTCTGGGCCCGTTTGCTTGAAGCGCTAACAGCTGCTAAAGTTAGCCGCAGTACCTAGGAGAGGGATTATTATATCACGTGGCTGGCTCGGTAGGGATGCGGGGAAACGTGGCGGTGCCCCGGTGAGTGAGTGCCACTCGCTTTGGAACTAATATGTCGTTGTAGCTGTAATATCAGGCGCGTTAGTCAGCAATGAATGGTGCAGGAGGCTTTCGCTTTGCCTTACCTCACTTAAATCGCAAAGCATGAGCAATGACCTTGCCACATCTTTTTTTTTAGTCTTTTGATTCTGGCCATTACTAAGCCTAAATGAACGCGATAATTGTCGGCACGGCAACGTCTTTGGAAAGCGGATTGCCTTGACTCAATTGGCCGGGTATTGATAGCACACAAAAGCTGACAGCGTACCATTAGACCTTTTTTTTAAACTACCCAAGCATCAAGAACCACGCTGGAAGTGTAATTCTACGGTCCGCGCGCGCTGGCCTTTTTCTTATAAAAGATTCAAAGTAAATAATCATAATAAGGCTTTGACGAACGTGTGTGCGAGGCAAAATTTGTTTTGGACTTTTTGATTTAGAACAATTACCACTGCAGACGCTACCACGTGCAACGCCTGTAACTACACTCGGTGCTTGGGAAAATTAAGAAAAAGGTCTATTGGGACGCTGTACAAGCTTGCACAACGTCTTTGTGGAGCAAGCCACTGAGCTGCTTCGCCTAACAGCACCTAGCCGCCTAACTGCACAAACAATTTTGTTCTTAGTGCCCCTCAAGCAGGGTAAACAAATGGCAAAATTAAAAATGTCCTATTGTCACTCTTCTTTTTCATTTTGCCTGGTGTATATGTGAACGAGTAACAAAAAATACACCCGTTATGGGGCATAATTACCTTTGGTAATGGAGCATTTCGCATCATTGGTGATTTCCTTCTCTTGCGATTAGAACGTGCAAACACTGTTGGAATGGCAGTCTTCTGCTTCAGCTTCTTCCAGCCATCTGTGCGATTTTGCTCAAACTGGGATTCTTGAAAGTGCCTAGAAACATATAATTTATTTTACCTTATAATGCCCTATAATTAACGTTTACACGCTTCGTTGCTTTATGTACATTAAATCCAGGACACTTATAACTCAATTTACTTAGCAGTCACCAGTTTAAACAGGGCTGTCATAACCAGGGCCCCTTAGATGTTGCAGATAGTGAACATGAGAAATGCACATAATTAAAATGAACTTTGCCGTTTTGTTTCATTTAAATTCCATGTGCTCGTATATCTTTATGCGACAAACAAAGATCATAGCTTTAGTGACCGCACATGCTTATCTTGATTGCAACGAACTATAATTATGTCTCAATTTTCTTGAGTTGAGCCAAAGTTTGAACTGCATATATGACCAGATCAATGCTATTGACGGTAATTTATAAATTCATACCGTCTGTGATCGTAGCTGTAGATGCGATCTTGCAAGGCACAAGTGATCATTTCCATAGTGGAAAGTTTTTGGAATAAATGAAAAGATTCTTACCTCAGAAAGTCGGAAACCAGCCGTTGGCGTCCACGTGTCGCGCTTTATTTTTATTGGCCAGAGTTTCCCTAATTTTTTTCTTTCGGAATAATAAACAACCGAAAGCCATCATGGCTGCTGTTAGAGCACCTGACGGCACAGCAACAAATCATTTTCGTCTTTGAAAATAAAAGCTTAGAAAATCAAGGAGCCGGTAAACCTCCAGGGTAGCCTATGCACATGTACGGGGAATAAGAACAAAAATGGTGGTCGGGAGCGTGTCGATTGCAGCGGGTTCGTCGTTGCCACGCGGTTGCTAGGGCCAACGTCAATGCCGGTGGGAGGAGTCAAGGGTCCGCCTGGGTTCACCGAGGACAATGGATGGCCAAACTCTCCCCTATCTATAGCTCTGACCCTTGGCAGATGGAGGCACCATCTGTGAGATGCTGTCACAAACAGCGGCATTCTGTCTGCTGCTTCTCAGGGACGGCGTCCTCTCATAGTCAAAAACAGTTTTCCACTTCTAACTTTTTATTCCGGTAATGATATGCATTAAAACTTAAGCATCTCGCTTGAACGGCTGCAGCTATGTTCCAAAGGAGTTTGAGCTTTCTCCAAAGTCTAGTTTATTTTTGCGGTGCGAAAACCAGGGTTCGAGTTTTTCAGGGACATTCTGTACAATAAGCTATTGCACCCTCCTCCTTGTTAAAAGTTCTAGTTGTTAGGGTTGTTTTACTTATTATATGGTGTGTCTCTCTTCATGATATAAACCACAGTGAAGTCTGAATTCTTGTGCTAGGTGCCATCCTGACCAGGCTGAAGCTGACATGATTAGCAAGCATCGTAACGTGAGTTGAATGATATGACAGCATATATTGACTACTGTGTGGATGTTCGTGCTTCGTGGCAGTCATGCGATAACAGTTGCCTTGACGTCACTTGTGTTGATGGAAGGTTGCCCTATTATGTCAGCAAGAACTATTTTTTGTTTTGATTAATTTGGGGAGCTTGTGGGCCATTACATGGAGTAACTTTGTACAGCATCCTTGTCTAAAGGCTATACCTGTTGGAGGATAATGCCTTATTTACATTGCATTCCAAATCTCACTTTTTAATTACTTCAATAATACCTAGTAGCTGGCATTTGATGTCAGCTTCTGCCACATCAACCCATGACCTTTGATTGTGTGCCAAACACACCACTAAATAGAAATGGCTTCATTATTACGTTTTGTTCCTCCATTGCATAGGATATGGGAATCCCAGCAATTACATTCTCCAACGGTATTTTGTAATATTCACAATTTTAAAATATGTTAACAATTTTATAAACCTCCAAGTCGCTCATTAACTGATCAATTATTTAAATAAATGTCAACTGTTAACCGGTTGCAAGTTTCTAATTAATGCACAATCCCACCCTGCATTACTGTTTGTGTATAATATCAGGAAATGTTGATTAAACATACAGGTTATTTCATAACAACTTTTTTTTATGTCTGACCCATTATATTCAGTGTTTTCTAGATAAGTTTGAAGTTATATAAGAGAGTGCTCATCTTAAAATTAAGCCATACCACTGGATGTACACTAGTGTGTGACCGATACATGTGTTCCCAGCGAAATGAAAGAAGGCATTTAAGAAGGGCAAACCACTTGCTTTGCTGTTTGTCTTGTCTTCTTTTAGGTGCGTGGGTGTTTAAGTCGAAAAGTGTTAAAGTGAAATTTGCTGCTGCAGGACTAGTTTTCCTGACTCGGCTAGTTTGTCTGGCAGCTTGCAACCTATGGGAACCTGAGGAACTGCATCACAAGAGTGAAAGGGACGCCCACCCAGCACTTCTTCGAGGATGGTGCCTTGAAGAAGGGAGAAGTGCGCCTAAAGTGAATGCCATGGCAGGTGGGTCATTAAAGTGAACCCCTAGCACAAATAATCCCAAACAAAAAATTGTTAACAAATGGGTTAGAAACAAAAAATGGAAATATGGAAAAAGAGGTGGAGGTGAACACACCATAGCACTGTGTTTTATGCGTCTGTTCTCTTGTGTCCTTTGCACCGTTTTTTGTTTTTGTCTTAAAGGGACACTCATACCCCACAAAAAAATTTTTTTTCCATTTTTTGCCAGGCGCTTCATTATGGTGTCGGAGAACTACCCAATTAATATTTTGCAACAGAGTCGCATATTTTTTTAATAAAGCCAAAAGACGCAACTGCTCGAAACCGAAACCGAAACCCGACGGAGGTCGAAGAAGCGGAGAGAAGAGAGTGAGTGGCGGAAGTCACGTGGCTACACCCGACCGTGCGTTTTTTTGTTTTTTTTTCTCCGTAGCAGACGACACGACATGCGGCGTGCGATGCGCCGTGCGGGAACTGCTCGCCGTGCGATTCTTTTGCAGTTATGTTTGTTCCGCTTGTTGTTCTGTACTCCAAGATGAGTTGTTTTGTACAGTGAGGAGTTGGAGATCAGTAGTAAGTGCCCGTGGTGAATTTCCATGATCGGCTCAGAAAAGAATACACCCAAGATGTTGCGTGAAGAGCTGGCTCACATGTCCTGCGTCCGAAAAAAAAGGGGGCATTGTGCGACAGAGTTTCCGAAAGATCAACGGGATCGGGAGCAATGGCTGGCTGCAATTCCTGTAGAACATATACGGGCACCTCGGAAAGCGGACGCTACCTGATTTATATGCTCCTTGCATTTTGTGGAAAGTGATTACATTGAGTTCGCAGGTGTCAAAAAGAAAATCCCATACCATTTAATTAAGCGAAGTGTCGTCCACAACATTTGTTTGTTATTTTTTGTTTCTTTCTTCAGTGATAATTGTAAAAAAAAAAAAGATATGTAAACATAAAAAAATGTAAAAAAAAAAAAATTCACGGGGGATTGAACCCGGTTCTACCGCGTGTGAAGCGGACGTCTTTCCCACTGAGCTACTAAGGCATCTCTCTACAGGTGGATCGCTTTCCTTAGTAATAATTCAGCCGGTAAACTGTAAGTTGGAAAGTTTGCTGCCGATTTTCCTTTAGCAAAAGCACTCCCGGGTCGAAGTCGGGAAGCACCACGCATTGGCGACATTCGCACCTAGTAAAGAAATTGTACGCGTCATATTCAACTCGAAGTAGACACGTCGTGCTTGACGTTTGCGCGAGCGATGTCTTCAGCCACGAGAAGGGAGTGACGGCTCGGCGACGTCTTCGTGCAAATCGGCTTGGTGTTCGGGCGTGTCGTACGGGATGAATACCAATTCTTTTGATTAGTCCCAAATTTCTCTTTTAAAGGTAGCCAGAATTCGCCGGTACCGCGAACGACAGTTCTGAAATAGAGGTCCCACGCCCGTCTTCCGCTGCCATCGCCGTCCCCGCGAGTCCCACGACACGCAAAACGACGAACGCACAGAATGCTTCCGGTTGTCTGTGGAACGTTGTTTTTTTTCAATCAACGTAATTACAGCTTTTTAGAAGCCACAAAAAATGGGTTTCATATTTTTTTCTATTTTTAATACTGAGTGTGTGCCTTCAGTGACCCACGACTTTGATTAAATTTGGTGGTCGCATCGATACCTTAGAAAACGGCCCGTGACCGCGGAAAAGAGAGTGAGCGAGACTCGAACCGGCCAGTTCTTGATTGGCGGTTTTCGGGCGGAAAGAAACCGAATTTCGAGCCGCAAATTCTCTTCTGGGTAGTTGAGCTCTCATATGTCACGTACAACTAAAAACCTCGGCGAGCATAAATACCCTGTCGGTGTCCCTTTAAATAATGGTTTATCATTTAGTCAGTATCAGCACTAGTGAACAAAAGTATGCTCTCAATCATTCCTATGAATTAACTGTGTGCTTGCAATTTAATCACGAACATTGTTTATGCTTGTGTCTAGAAATGTAACTCGTACCGTAATCTATTAAAGGGACATTGATAGGGTGTTTATGCTTGTTGAGGTTTTTCTTTGAACATGACCTACGATACTCCAACTACCCAGAACATTACTTGCGGATCCAAATTGTTTGTTTCTGCTGAAAAACAGCCATTCTTGAATTGGTTGCTTGCTATCGCACTCACTCTCTTTTTCAGGTTATCTGGGGTTTAAACTGTATGTACCAAATATATTCAAAGTTTTGCATCATCTAAGGCACACACGCAACATTAAAAAAAAAAGAAGAATATGAACCACATTTTTGTGATCTCCAAAAGCCAGCAAAAATGCTGATTGAAAAAAAAATACTGCACAGATCACAGGAAGTACTTATGCTTATCATATTCAATACAGCGACGTACTGCGGGCTGGACGATACGATGGTGACGCATGATGCACCAACGTTGCGACGGATGAGGGGGCTTTACTTCGGAACGGTCATTTGTGATACCAGCCAATTGATCTTCAAGCGCAGACATTGAGCGGTTGTCGTGCGAAATAATCGCACGACAAACGGTGCGCGCAAATTCGTCGTCGTCGTCTTTTCGGTTTCGTCTTCTCGTCGTCTTTTCGGTTTCGAACTGCAGAGTTTTTTAGGCTTTATTAAATATGTACGTGGCTGTGTATTAAAATATTTCCTGACTAGTCTCTTGACACAAATTAAATTGCCTGGCAAAAAAATGAAAAAATATGCACATTTTTAGGGCGTGTTCGTGTCTCTTTAAAGAAGAAAACCGAGGTGCAAGCTGGCACAGGTTAAACAAGGTGAATTACCCAATGCAGTAGTAGGGATTCATGAAGGATGATGCAAACACTGAAGTCTAAAACAATGGGCTAAAAATAAATAGGCAACCCTGAAGAGGGAGACACAAAGGCACTTTTTTCAAATAATATTTTCCTGCTTACAACCACTCTACAAAGGGAATTCGTTCCCGGATATTGCGGCCTTCTACTGTACGCAACCCCGAAGGTCCCCATGACAACAAACGAAACGAAGCAACCTACGAACCTCTGAGTAAATGTGGTTGAAAGAAGAATAGCTTGAGTTTTTAACCTAAGAAGTACAAAAACATTATACACAAGGTCAAGTTTCCGAAAACGGGTCGACATCGAACTTGTTTCTAATGAAAAAATACAGGCAAAAAGCAGTGGTATAGCCAAGATTTTTTTTTCTTTTTAGGGGGGGGGGGGGGGTGGCTGGGATGTCCATTACTTGGGGTTCAGAGAGGGCTAAGGGGTCAAAATGCTTGTGTATAATATTATAGGGTCGACTGGATTTCGGGGTGGGGCTGAAGCCCCATAAGCATCCCTCCCCCTCCCTGGCTACGTCCCTGTACACCTGTTCCACTCAGAGTCGAAACACAGAAAGGGCTTAGTCAATGCATTTCTATGCTTTATTATCATTATTTTGATTCTTGCAGTATATTCTTGTAGTCATTCCCTTCGGTCAAAACTATTTCAGCAGGATCCCACAAGGGCGCAAAATCATTACTGTTAATCAAGTGGGGGTTTTTTTTGTTGCTTTTCTTGCAGAATTTTGTTGCAAAGATTGCATAAAAACAGGGATCTTTATTTGGAACTGTGAAAACATTTGAGGGAATAATTGTGAGCCTTTATGGATCTGTTCTGAAAAAGTTTTGACCCAAGAGAATGTCCACAAATTTATACTGAAAGAATCAGTAACAAAATTGAAGCTTGTAACTGTGGTGAATAAGTCTTCGCTATGTTTTGACTGTGAGTGGAAGAACTTTTTTAGCCTTTATCTTTTTCTCTAGAACCAGGTTTGATGTCCCTCTCTTTTAGGAAGTTAATGTTGTGTATGGTGCTTTTCTATTCTCTAGGCTATAAGCTCGAGGGTATTCCCTGTTTCTTTGATCACATTTACACAGAGGTTAGTAGGTTGCTTCTTTGTATCTCTGTCCTTGAGTATGTTGGGGGTCGTGCTGAGTCCTGGACTGTGCAAGCTGAAATGTTAGTGCAGTGACCGAAATCCACTGCTTGCTGGGCTTCTACAAGAGATGCTGAAGTAGCAATAAGAGGCGGTTTGAGGACAAGAGTGCATGGCCACTGCTATGCGACTCTGCCTGTTTCTCATTCTTTAGGAGCACCTCGATTTGAGTCATCTTTATGTTTTGCTATCGCCTAGCCGTGCTTGTTGGCGCCTCAATTATCTGGGCCGGTGGGCTTTGTCCCAGCCAAATAACTTTGTCCTATGACTCAGCAGGCAAACATAATGGTGACTATAAACAATCCCAGAAGCAGCACGTCTGCAGCAAGGTGCGCGGTTCTCAACCATGATCAGGCCGAGTCAGGCATCATGCCACTGCAATCTCTTCTGAACGTTATCTTTTATCGCTAGTTGAAGTTTTCTTGTTAAGGCAGTGCCACTGTTGTCAGTCGTCGCTTGGTCATTTCAGCTTCTAGCAACAATGACTGGACTGTAGGGCTGAGCATTGATTATAAATTTAAACATCATTATAATTGCCATCCTTTAACCGATTATTAATAGATTAATCATTCTCATTCCTTTCCATGCATACTCAAAATTATATATATTTTTGTTTGCCTTTACTGAATGTTTGATAAACACTTATACGAAATTGATAATGAATCAACTTCAATACATAGTTGAACAGTTTGAGGACACACTTGCAGATTATTACTTGAGTTGCATGAGGCAAAGAGGTTTGGTGATATTCATCGGCAAGAGCGGCTTCCTTTGATTGTTCTCGCTGCTCTAAACAGACACTCAATATATGTTAAAGTGGCCAGAGCACATGTAACTCTCTGCCCCTTGTCTGGAGTTACAAATCTTGCCCTTGCAGTTTATTTTAGGTTAAAATTTCACCTAAACGTTGCCCTTCATATACATGTACTCGGCCATTTCTCTATGGTAAAAGCATTTCATTTTGATTTTCTTTTCGTTCGTCATAATTTTACTGGTTGACCGGATAAACAGAATAATCCAGATTAAAGCAATTTTATATTAATTGATCGGTTATTCTATCCATTGCCCAGCCGTACTCTTCAATAGAAAGCACTAAGGTCCAGCAAAATATTTTTCTTTTGGAGATGGTTGTAAGTGGAAGTGCACCCATGAAAAGGGTTTCTTAAAGGCCGACCTACAAAACCATTTTCCGCGGGAGAAGAGGTTTCCTCCTTGCCACCCAGAAAGGAAGAAACCCCTTCTCCTTTCTACGAAGACTAGCTTCCGGACCCGCCGTTTTTCAGGAGAGGAGGAGGAAGGAGTGCGAGAGGGGAGGGATCGAAGGTCGTTGGGAGCACTTTTCTACCCTGCGGAAAATGGTTTCGTAAGTCGGTCTTTAAGGTCTCCCTCTATATGTTCTGTTGTGTGCCACTTAATTAAGAACCTTTCTCTCCATTTAAATTTAGCTGAGCTCCAGTCTTCGGTACATTCATCATAAGACATTTCTTTTACAGTGAAATTTCAAGGCAAGGTCAAAATTATTGCAACTTGAAGCAAACCAAAATCACAGAATGAAGTGATGGTTTCCTCTTTTGTTTAGACAGAACTAATGTTTATCAATATTTTGTTTAAAGGTGCTTTTATGACAAAAGGTGTCGCCAACCTCTGCTGAAGACCATGTGGCTTGCGGCTTTAAAACCCATCACATGCAAGTGTTATTTAAATTTTTATCTTCATCATCATCATTCTCTTGAACCACAACATTATTTAGAGCACCAGTTTTACTAAGAAACTTCCATTGCCAGAGACTCATGCTCTTATTAATTGTGCAATGACAGTGCAGCCACCAACTGCCATTTCTAGTGAAATAGTGGTCTCTGGTGTAACAAATTTAACAATGAACAGTGTGCAATAATGAAAAACAGTCCACTGCTGTTTTTCCAAGGTCCACTGACTTGCTTCTGCAGGCATTTATGGTTTTCCAATGCAGTGTAAATCTGATCAAACCAAAACAGAAGATAGAGATGTGCTGCGTTAATGGTCCCTAGACCTTCCCAGTGGTGATGCTCCTCCTCACCTTTTCCTAGGCAACGAGCGAGAGGACTCTTCACTAGCGTGATCCATCATGGGCTTCTGGTATAACGAAGGCCACTGGAAGGGGCTCGAGGGCAGTCTGCCTCGAGGGGAAGTTGACTTCTTGATTGCTGCTACTTGGGGACTCCAAGATATATGGACGAGGCTTCTCAGCAGACCTAGGCTATCCTGGAGTTTGGGGTGGGCATGCCCCTCTGTGTTATGGACGTTTGCGAGTTGTGTTACTTTCCTACATGGCGACAGCCGCCTCCTGTGCATAAGTGAATTGGTGCTCATCTTTTGTGTAAGGTTGCTATTCATGTCACTGAAGGAAGCTTTACACTTCTGGTGTGGCATGTCATTTATTTGGCAGCTAGAAAAGCTGTTGCTTGAAGTCAATGTTTAGGTTCTTGGTTTTCGGAGGACCGGAAGTATTTTCTAATACACTCAACTCTCAGTAACTCAAACTCCTGGAAGCCACAGACTTTAATTTGAAATATGAGAAGTTTGAATTATCGGAAATTTATGGAAAAGTGATATGAGGCAAAGTATGAAATCGCTATAGGAATAACTACATATACCAAGCCGTTTTTTCTAGTATCCTCTGCACAGGCCTATTTAAAAAAGGGCACACATAAAACATTGGTGAGGCTTAAAGCAAATATTAATATTGGCCGAATATTTTCTAATTGAATATAGAATAGTTTCTCAAAGCCTGTTACTACTGTTGTGTCGTGCTTAAACAAAAATTCAGCTTAACTTGTGAAGGTTGTTCCCAACCTTCCCGTTGTCCACTTCTAAGCTCAGTTAGTTTTAATATAACTACATCTATGAACTGTGGCCTCTGTAAGTCCAATGCCTACATTGGGGTGGCATGTAAATGACAGATTTTACATAAAATTAAATTTAAAGAAACGCCCAGCTATCCTAATCGAAGGAATTTATAAATCTGCTTGCTATATGCAAATATTCTTTCTTTCATCTGGAATTTAATCCCCCTTAGAAAAATCAAAGCACAAATAATGAAAGCAGATTGTCAGGACAGTGCTCCTTCCATAATCGGGATGGGATAGTCCCATCGAGTATGCTTTTCACCTAGCACCCGTATACTGCGGCAAAGCAATGACCACGAGCTTCGCGTGTATTGCTTTTCCGGAGTACACAGGTGCTCGATGAGAAGCGCACTCAACGGGGCTAACCCTCCGCGATGGACAAATAGTGTGAACGGAGCGAAAACATTGTTTGAATTAAACAGCTTATAGATGTATTAAAACATAGCAAAAAAACTAAATTTTTAAATTTGTTTGAATTAACCGGCAGTACGAAATATCAGAGTTTGAATTATTGCGAGTCCACTGTACTTTTTTTAGTTCAGAAAAAACAGTATTTAGTGGCAGCTGTCAATGAAAATAGTAGTGGTTGTATACTTCACATACTTTTTTTTCAGGTGCCGTAGTTTTACAGTTTTAGAGGATTTTAAACGATCACATGAAATTGGTAATACAGCACATCATTATGCTGTAACTCGCCTCTGGCAAGCACATTCCAGTGTTACAAGCAGATTATACTTTTTCATGCAGCTAATGAGTGGCAATTCTTCTGTTTTCTGCTTGTCTAGTTTGGTAGAAACATTGTTCCGAAATGGTGACATGAAAAGAAGCTATTAGTCTAAATTAAATTTTGTTTGTCTTGATCCTATAAGTGAATTGCTCTCATATCATTTTGCAGGCATTGCGCTGAGGCTTGGGCCATGTGGAACTGGAGGCAGCCAAGTCATCAAAGAAGATAGGACTTCGGCTCATTCGGAAACCATGTGAACTACGGCACAAGAGGCCCAGGGCACCGGGACAGCTGGCTGAATAAACAGCTAAGCCTTTCAAACATTGAAGTGTGTGCTATCCCAAGGAGAGTAGTTTGAAGGGGATTAGAGTTTTAGACCTCAAGGCAAATGAATGTATTTTTTCCTGCCAAAGGTTGGATACTTCTTGAACAGCCCTGATTCAAAAATACGAAAGAGTTATACAAAGAAGGTGGACAGGACAAACATCTTTCAAATTTCAACACATTGGTGTCTTCTTTTGCTGGTATAAATTGAATAACCTGGGGACATGCACTTTTAATCTGACAGGGAATCGAACTGATGACCCTTTCTTACAGTGTCCATTGAATTCATGATCAGTTAACGAACAGCCTGGCCACCAACACCTTTGAAATTTTTGGACGAGGCAATATATATATCCTTCGGAGACTATATTCTTGTGAAAACGGTAAACTGTTTCTCTGTTGTTTGTTTGCCTAGTAGATAACATACACTCTAAATGACACCAATTTTTTTCGTACGGCGTGACGAGAAACATTGCACATCATTTGTGCCAGACTTCGGAGGTGGTTGTTGGAAACCTAATGCAACTGCAATTTAGCCTAGACTTTGATTATCATGAGCAATTGCAACTAGGTTTTGTCAATCTTTTTTCTTTTTGCACAGCGAAGCAGCAGGTGCTGTAACATGAAGGTTCAATAAGAATGGGTGCGTCATATGATGTTCAGATCACAAAGACCTCAATCTGGATGCCTCCTAGCTGATCCACCCCAGTGCCTTGAGTGCATTACAGTAATGCCTAGAGCTTGAGTATTGTTGCCTGCAACATGATGAACCTACAAACACAAACATCTGTTCTCGCATGTTATTTTGCCTTTAGATTGGGGAGAAAACTGCCGTCTGCTATACCTTTAGTGGCAATGAAAATGCCACAGCTAGCATTATTTGCCCCATGGCCGAGGTGAAAATGACCTTCGGCTATGCCTTTCTGGCCAGGCAAATGTCACATTGTTTTTTGCTCGATGGCCGAGGTGAAAACAAAGCCAGGCTAATGTCGCGTCGGTATTTGCTCCATGGCCAGGCTGAAAACAACCCTCGGATATACCTTTGTGGCCTAGCAGATGCCGGCCCTCGTTCTTTGCTCAATAGCCCAGATGAAATCAAGGCCTCGGTGGCCTAGCAAATGCCGGCCCTCGGTCTTTGCTTAATGGCCGAGGTGAAATCAAGGCCTCGGTGGCCTAGCACATGCCGGCCCTTGTGTTTTGCCCATTGGCCGAGGTGAAAACGAGACCTCGGTTATACATCTGTGGCCAGGCTAATGCCGCGTCGGTATTTGCTCCATGGCCAGGCTGAAAACAACCCTCGGATAAACGTTTGTGGCCTAGCAGATGCCGGCCCTCGTTCTTTGCTCAATAGCCCAGATGAAATCAAGGCCTCGGTGGCCTAGCAAATGCCGGCCCTCGGTCTTTGCTTAATGGCCGAGGTGAAATCAAGGCCTCGGTGGCCTAGCACATGCCGGCCCTTGTGTTTTGCCCATTGGCCGAGGTGAAAACGAGACCTCGGTTATACATCTGTGGCCAGGCTAATGCCGCGTCGGTATTTGCTCCATGGCCAGGCTGAAAACGACCCTTGGATACACCTTTGTGGCCTAGCAGATGCCGGCCCTCGTTCTTTGCTCAATGGCCGAGGTGAAAACAAGGCCTCGGTGGCCTAGCAAATGCCGGCCCTCGGTCTTTGCTTAATGACCGAGGTTAAATCAAGGCCTCTGTGGCCTAGCAAATGCCGGTCCTTGTTTTCTGCCCAATGGCCGAGGTGAAAACGAGACCTCGGTGGCCTGGCAAATGCCGGCCCTTGTTTTTTTGTACTGTGGCCGAGGTGAAAACAAGGCCTTGGCAACTGGGCAAATGCCGGGCTAGGCCCTTCCTTGGTGGCCAACATGTAAAAAAATACCTTGGATGGCCGGGAGTTTGCCGAGCACTGCCCTTTGCCAATGGCCGAGCTGAATTGGAGGCATCGGTGACCTGGCTTTTGCCGACCATGGTTTTTGGTTGTCCACCGAGGGTTTGCCGGTGGCCGACCAAATTGATCGTTGGCCTAGCAATGGCCGAGGCATGGCCGATGATTTTAGAAAATTCTGTGCTCCTTGGGCGGGCACTATAACCGAGTGTGGATGCAGGGACAGAACCTGTTTCCACTCAAGGTTAGCCCTTGCCGCCTAAGAAGGTGAAAAAGGAAGGAAGAGAGTGCAGAAGAAAAGAGAAAGAGGTGGGAGGAAAAGTGAAAGAAGGAAGAAGAGGGTAGAAGAGGCGACTGACTGAATCATCCTGGTCGGGCCAAGCCAGGACACCCGTCTACGAGAAGCAGGGGTCCAAGCAGTGTATTGCCTCGCCCGGGGGGCCCCGAAGGGTCCAAACATACCCCGGGCTCAGCTCAACCACCAGGGTCCCCTTTTCCCCGGACACGGGTACGCCACGCACAGCCAGACGTGGGTGGGCGAACCCACATGGCTCGGGGTTCGTAGTAACGCCACTCACCAGTCACCTACAAAAGTAGGTGCCCACTGCGTTCGGGTATGGTGGCCCACGTGGCTGGGGTCCGTGGTGACGCTACTCACCAAGCACCTAGCACCTAAGGTGCAGGTGCCCCCTGCGGGGCTCGGGGTCCGTGGAGACGCCACTCTCCAAACACCTGCTTTCACAGGTGCCCCCTGCGGGGACTAAACATAGTTAAAAGGCTATCCACCACCGCGTGGTGTATCAGATTCTGTTAACATGCGTCAAGAAATATGTAGGCCAGACTGGGAGATGCCTGAACGATAGGCTCCGGGAACATAGTCTAAACATCAAAAACTATCGGGATGGCCACCTTTCAATGCATTGCCATGACTGCGGGTGCAAACCTTTTTTCGACTTATGCTCAGTACTAGCTAAACATAAAAATAGAGCTGTTAGGGAGATTATCGAAGCGGACGAGATAAAAAGGGCAGGGCTGGGGTGTGTCAGCGTTGCAACTATCGACCTTTTGGATAAGGAGGTGCAGTTCATGCAAATGGCGGCAAGGCCTGGGGTTGGCTGATTGATAGGATCCAAGCGTGTATATATGCATCATTTCCATGTTGATTAAATAGTTGCAGTCAGCGCTCGTGTCTGTCTTGTCTTTCTTTCTTTTGTCCTCGTCCAAAAAAGCGCTACCATGTTTTTGGCAACCGAAGACCAATACCAACTAGCCCAGCATTCAGTTTTGATGTGATAGCAGTGGGGTCGAAACCGAAACTATCCCGTCGTATTTCAATCCTTGGCTCCGTGCCAATCCAAAGCCACAAGCAGCTTCCGGTTTCTTGTTCGCCTGAAGGGAGACAATGGACGGAGTGCGTCCGTCGATTCAAGTTTAGGTAAGTTTTGCCACTTTCATATTCATATTGCATGCCACAAAAATATCCAAATATGCGAGATCATCTTTCGGACACCGTAGCTCACGTTGTCACGGTAATTCGGATGATTTTTCACTTTTTTCGACGATTTGAGTCAGATAAAGTGAAACCATCTCAACACTAACAAACGGCGGCGGCGCCGTTGTTGTTATTTTGAGAATCCCGTGAATGCTCTCTGACATCGGAGCACTGCAGATACGCTGATTAGATCGTTTCTAAAGTTCCCGTTGCTATCAGTGAACTGTTGTGTGTTGTCCAACGCTCGGATACGGATCTTAGAACAAACACCATGCGTGTGTTTGGGAGGGCGACACTCGTGAAGAATTGGGTGGTTTGTACTTTGGCGTGTCGTCTCGTCCTTTCTCACGCTAGCAACAGCATCGAGTTGTGCCCAGTATTTTGAAACTCCCGGCCTGCGCGCACTGGGTTTTCGCGCCGCTTACCGCGGGAGTGTTCGGGGTGACGCGGTTCGAGCGGCAGTTTGGCGCTGGCGTTTGGCGGATTGATAGGACACGCTCCTAGCTGGGTGTCGTCGTCGTGCTCGTGTACGGCGTGCGCTTCGCGCTGGCCTGCGGTGCCTGGCGTTGGGTTTGAGGTGCACGGGCCTCAGGGGCGGATGCAGAACTCCGTTTTTTTTTGCTTTGTTTTTTTTTTTTTGGGGGGGGGGGGAAATTTTTAAGGATACTATTCTCCCATTCTTGTGGAAGGGGGGTCCAGCCATGTCAAATTGCCCACCGAGAGGGGGGTAGAGAGGGCGGTCAACTTTGTTTGGGGGCGGGGGGGCCACCCCCCCCCCCCCCCCCTTGGATTTGCCACTGGCGGGCTTAGAGTTTCATGAAAGTGTTGACCAAAACCTTTTAACCTCATCGTTCTTGTTTTCTCCCTTGTTGCCTGTTCGTTATTTTAATAATCTTGCTCTGGTTGATTGACTAGAAGACGCTCGTGCGTACGGGCCCCTGCATATTTGTCTAGCCTTGCAAGCCACCCAGAGTACTACTGTCGCTAATAAAGATTATTGTTGCTTGCCTTAGTGACGTTTTAATTTACCCCGGCCACATTCGTGACTTGTAGAACTCGTGGGTGCACAGGTAGTTTACATGGCTGAGGAAAGGGGTTGAATGATTTGATTAAAATGCTTTGATCTGCTATAGAATGTTTAGCGGTACACAGGTTGCAATGGAAACGCACGCATCTGGCAGGCGCTCTCGCATGCACGGTGGAGACGCATACAAATCAAGGACATCCAGCTTTGAATGTGATGACTTTCTACTTGCTACAAGTTTTGAGTACCTAAGGTCCTGGTAAAGCTAAAGGGAGTCTCTTAAAACATTTGTGGAAAGACGCAATGCTGGATACAATTTTAGTCTAAAAGGTAGTCCACACTGTAGCAACCGGCTAGGACTGAGTCCGAAAAAAACAGTCTTTAAGCCTCTTGTGACGGCTTATGACCACGCCGCACAGCAGTAATGGCAGTACTAAGCGGCTTAAAACCCTGTGTTGTTCAACTCCGTCGTAGTCATTTGCGACAGTGTGAACCAGCTTTAACACCTCTAAAGACCCGTTCACACTCTTGCAACAGAGTAAGACCGAGAGAGACCAGACTGGTTTTTAAGGCTCTTGCGATCTCTTGGAACCAGCTCCGCTGCAGCGCATCCGGTCCTAAGACGTCGCAAGAGGCTTATAAACCAATCTGGT